GATATTGCTATAAACCTCTGGGGTCGTGATCTACTCCAGCAATGGAATATGCAGATTAATATTTCTCCTGTATCAGCTAGGAATTATAGACAAGCTCTCAGTTATAAAAAGAATATAGTATGGCAGTACAGAAAACAGATGCCAAATGTACAGGCTGTACAGAAGCAGGATGCTAGTGCCAAACCTACAGAGTAACCAAAGGCTCTACCCTTAAAATGGCTGACAGATGAACCCGTCTGGGTGGGTCAATGGTCAATGACATCTGAGAAGTTAGAGGCTGTGGAGAAGTTAGTTCAGGAACAGCTAGATGCTGGACATATTGAGGAATCAACTAGTGCATGGAATTCACCTGTTTTTGTTGTCAAGAAGAAGTCTGGTAAGTGGAGAATGGTTACTGATCTTAGAGCCATCAACAAGGTAATTCAGCCTATGGGGTCTCTACAACCTGGGATGCTGTTACCTTCTCTAATTCCTAAGGATTGGCCAATTATAGTTATAGACTTAAAAGAGTGCTTCTTCACCATACCGTTACAAGAAAACGACAGAGAAAAAGTTGCCTTCACGGTACCTACCTATAATAATCCCGATCCAATACAGAGATTCCAGTAGAAGGTACTACCTCAAGGTATGTTAAACAGCCCAACTTTGCGTCAATATTTTGTGAATAAACCTCTAGAAATAATTCGTAAAAAATTTCCACAGTCGTTAATATATCATTATATGGTTGACAAATTACTATCTGATTTAAATAAGGATACATTGGAAAAGATGTTTGAAGCAGTAAAGGAAACTTTGCCTCACTGGGGATTACAAATTGCCCCAGAAAAAATACAAAGAGGAGATTCTATTAACTTTTTAGATTATAAAATAGATGCTCAGAAAATTAGACCGCAGAAAGTACAGATCAGAAGAGATCGTTACCGGACTCTTAATGATCTTCAAAAACTATTAGGAATAATCTCTCAATTACAGACAATTATCAGTGTACAAGGGCATGATTTAAAACACCCAAAAATGGCTTTAAAAGGACATAAAGACCTAAACAGCCCACAAGTACTACCAGGTGAGGCTGAAAAAGAATTAGAATGGGTAGAAAAGAGAATATTTGAAGCACATGTGGACCGTGTGGATCCAAATCTGACTGTATTCTGGTTATTTTACCATCTAGAGAATACCCCTCAGGAATATTAATGCAGAGGGAAGGCATCATTCTAGAATGGGTATTTCTGCCACATAAACAGAACAAAAAATTGAAAACATATATAGAAAAGATCTCCAATTTGATATTAAAAGGTAAGTTAAGGCTTCGTCAACTGACTGGGAATGACTCAGCTGAAATTATTGTACCTTTAACGAATAAGGAAATTTCCTCCTTATGGAAGGATAATGCGTATTGGCAAATAGCTTGCAGTGACTTTTTGGGAAGTATTAGTAATAACTATCCCAAAACAGAGAGAATCAAATTCGTAAAGAAAACAATTTGGATTCTTCCACGTATCGTGAGGCAAACGCCTATTTCTGGAGTTCTTACCTTCTACACAGATGCAAACAAATCTGGTAAGGCAGGGTATAAATCAGGAAATATAAGTAAAGTAGTTCAAAGCCCTTACAACTCCGTACAAAAGGCAGAGTTATTTGCCATTCTCATGGTACTTTACAGAGCCTCTCAATATAGTCACGGATTCTCAGTATGCAGAAAGAGTTGTCTTGCACATTGAGACTGCAGAATTTGTTCCTGATAATACAGAATTAACCTCATTGTTTTTACAATTGCAGGAAATCATCAGAAACAGGACTTATGCTATATATATATAACACACATCAGATCCCATACAGGTCGGCAAGTCCTCTGGCACAAGGCAATGATGAAATTGATCATTTATTAGTAGGTAATGTGTTGGAAGCTTCAAAATTTCATAAGAAACACCATGTTAACAGCAAAGGTTTAAAGAAGGATTTTTCTATCACCTGGCAACAAGCCAAAGAAATAGTAAGAAATTGTCCCAGTTGCTCATTCTACAATCAAACTCCATTACCAGTAGGTTGTAATCCTAAAGGTATTCACAGAAATGAACTTTTACAAATGGATGTATTTCACTTCCCAGAATTTGGCAGTTTGAAATATGTATACCATACTATACACACGTTCTCAGGCTTCCAATGGGCTACTGCCCTCAGCTCTGAAAAAGCTGATTCTGTTATTACACACCTCTTAGAGGTGATGGCTGTTATGGGTATACCTAAAACAATAAAAACTGACAATGCTCCAGCATATGTCTCCAGTAAATTTCAAATATTATAATATAAAACATGTAGCTGGTATACCTTACAATCCCACAGGACAAGCAGTAATTGAACGATCTAACCGAACCTTAAAAGAGATGCTTCATAAACAGCCAGGGAAAACAAAGACACCTAAACACAGGTTACATAGTGCTTTACTAACGTTGAATTTTCTTAATGATGATGAAAATGGACAAACTGCAGCAGAAAGACACTGGACTACAGAGAAGACTTCTGATCTGAACCAACCAGTGTATTTTAAGGATGTTATGACCTCAGTCTGGAAACCAGGATATGTGTTACGTTGGGGAAGGGGTTATGCTTTTGTTTCCACAGGAGAAGAAAAGGTTTGGGTTCCATCAAAATTAATTAAAATTCGATCAGAACAGAAGACATCTCAGGAGGAGGAAGATAACAACTCATCTACAAATTCATGTTCCACCATGGGTATAATGACCTCCTAAAAGGAAAGAGAAGTGTTTTGTTTTTTGTCTTCACAGGTAAACTCAGCAAAGAATACTGGACATATGGATTCCTGATGAAAAATGAATAGCTACCCTGAGGACCATCAAACAAACAGTAACTCACTGTGTGGTATCAAAGTCTAAATCTCTCTATATTGTTCTTTCATAGTACCCTTTTATCTTTATTTCTTCACATACCTCAGTCCCCATTCATTTAACTGAAGCTGGCTGTGGAGTTGGATTGGCTCTCCTACTCTAAACTCGAGCATATTATTTAAATACAATTCAGAATTTCTGTATTATATCAAAGAGCCATTGATATAAGACAGAAGAAAATGAAATTAGGGACTGTTATCTGTGGATTTCTTTTTCTGAACAGTCTAATTTCCTTCAGGTTTACCAACTTCCCTATTGTCACCTCTTCCAGTATGTATATATATAAAAGTTAAAATATTTCTTTGTTAACATTAATGTTTGAGTATTCCAGAGAACAAAGGATTTCCTGACAGCAATCTTCAACTGCTTCAGAAAGAGAATGAGGATCCACTTCCTTGACTTCACCTGATTCGACTGGAGGCATCTGAACTGCCCCACATCATTGAGTCCACCTGACAAGCACTATCCTGAAACTGGCTTGATACTACATCACTCTACACAACTCCGGACCAAGAAACTGAAACAGCACATTTTCTACAATTTGGCCAGAGCTTCAGATGAGAGCTTCAATCAACACTAGAACCCCAGTCAGGAACTTCAATCAAGCATCTCCTGCCATACAGAGACTGTCTGATCTTCTGAGATTTTGTTATACTAACATTTTTCTTCTCACAGGTCCCCATGAGATTATCATCGTCCCATCTCAGCAGGAAGTAGTTTTGAGAATTCCACGCCCCCTGTCCCTACAATTGATATTATAGGATAGTTTATACCTGTTAGTGTTAGTTTTCAATTATTTTAGACTTGGGATTGGAAGGAGGTGTTCAGATTTGGGTGTTTCTTTCAGATAAGTTTAGGTTTAGATAGAATAGATGTTTGATACATTTTGTTCATGGACACAAGTTAGTTGTCCTTTTTAGACTAAAAGGGGAATTGTAGGAGGAAGCCTGCATGCCGCCATTAACCATGTGACTTACTAGAGGTGCATACAGATGAGGTAAGAGCGGTTTACCACACCACTAACCACACCCACTTTAGGCATGACTAAAGATGTATACGTATGTAGGCGGTGAACTACGTCACTAGCCAGTCCCACTTTTGGGCATGGCTAGGGGGCATTACGGGGGAAGACATAAAAGACAGCACACAGGAAGTCTTGGTCTCTTTTCCCGGAGTTCGGCTTCCGGTTCGGCAGTGGAAAACTACTTGACTCATCTGGGTTACTTGTTTGGTATCTTGTGAGTAATTTCTACAATAAATACTTAGTTTTACTTTCAGTAAGTGTATTGCTTATCGTTACAACGTCATTTGAAGCATCAATAGTGTAATGTACATTCAAAATAAATTGTACTCAGTGAGTATGTTGGAGTCCTCAGTGAATCCTTGTGGGGTCTTAGACTTTTATTATTTAGCTTCTAGGTGGGAGAGAATTTATTTGGCTCTATAAATTGTATTTAAAAGCACATTAATATATTGTGAGGTGTTTTTTATGGTAGTGTGCCATGGCTTCACAGATGATGAAAACAAGAAATACCCCCTAGATAAAAAAAAAAACAGACAAACAAGCTGTGATCCAATAGACTGGGTCATTGAAAAATCATTGAACTTAGAGTCATAAGTCATGAATTCAAAGTGCAGCCCTTTGCCTATTAACCAAGGCATGTCCTTAAGGCAGGTTTTTGGTTTAAAACTCTTTTCTGAGTATCCTGTACAAATCCATCTCCAACTCTCCCCTATTGGACATCCCCACACTCTATTCTGAACTTCATTATTGTTTCTTCTTCTTCTTCTTCTTCTTCTTCTTCTTCTTCTTCTTCTTCTTCTTCTTCTTCCTCCTCCTCCTCCTCCTCCTCCTCCTCCTCTCCCTCCTCCTCCTCTTCCTCTTCTTCTTCCTCCTCCTCCTCCTCCTCCTCTCCCTCCTCCTCCTCTTCCTCTTCTTCTTCCTCCTCGTCCTCTTCCTCCTCCTCTTCTTCCTCCTCCTCGTCTACCTCTTCCTCTTCATCATCTTCTTCTTCCTCCTTCTCTTCCTCTTCCTCCTCCTCCTCCTCTTCTTCTTCTTCTCTTTTCTTTCTTTTTATCATTGTCTTGTCCTTCCTCTTTTCCCCCTTTCTCCTACACCTTGTTCCTCCTCTTCTTTTCAATAACCTTCTGAGTCCATTTAGTCCTGCTAGTGTGTGGTTACAGAGCCATTCACTAGAACATGGGCAGTCTACAAGGGACCACATCCTTGAAGAAAACTTATTCCCTCCTCAGCAGGTATCAGTTATCAATTAATTGCATGCCAGTTAAGATTGGAGCCTTTTGAGCATGCCTTGTACTTATACTGGAATGTTGACTGGCTTCATTTTGTATAATTCTTGTACTGGCAACCACAACTACTGTAAGTTCACTAGTGTAGGAGTCCTGTCATATTTAGAAGATACCATTTCACAACAGTCCTTCCAATGTTCTACCAAATTCTCAAAGATTACTTTAAAAAGTTGACTTTCTCAGTTTTTCTCTATACTTACAGTCATTTAAAGTAATGTAGGTAGAATTCTTCCTTCTTTCTGTGAGTGACATCTTCTGCTACATGATTGCAGAACTAGAATAATCTGTATTTGGAATCTAGCTCCTCAATGGTCTATGTGAGCAGGAGAGGAAGCCAAAACAAGCAAGAACACTTATGGCCAGTATCTGTGCTAGGACTACCTGGTGGCAAAGTAGAACATCATGGTCTTTGAAAGAAACTCTGCTGGGAGTTTGGAATTCATTCATCTTTGCCTCTGAAGTTTCAAAGGAAAAATCTCTCCTTGTCAAAGCTCCAGAACAAAAAATAAATGGCATGTTCTTCTATCCCAGAGCAAAATAGCCTGAAGGGAAATGGCAACAGCTGAGAAAAAGCATCTTGTGCAGTTTTTGCTAGACATACATTCTGACACTGACCTTGCTTCTTACTCCCATTGTGTCTCCCTCAGCCAGTGATTTAATTCCTCCTTCTCATTATGGACCATGTGAAATGTTTCTGTATTTACCAATGATTATGAAAAAACAGTTGTGGTTGTCATGGTTTGAGTCTGAAGTGTTGTCATAGGCTTATTTTCTTAATACCTACATGTTCACATTGTTTTGAAAGGCTCTGGATTGTTTTGGCATGGCAGACATAGGTCAGAATGGAGCTAGGAGGCAGGTCCTAGCCCATTTCATCCCTGCCAGCTTTCCTTTGTTTCCACTGTTTTTATTCTATCATGACACAAGTGGCTTCCACCACGTTTCTGCCATCATGGTTTGAGAAGTCCCACCAAAGCCTTTCCCGTGAGGATGGCCTGGAAGCCTCTGAAACCATGGGTGCAAATAAATCCTCTCTCAAGTCCCTTCTGTCAAGTGTTGTTATCATAGTGACAAAAAAGTAACTGGTACAAAGCTGTACACTAAAATGTTTCTGATCTCTCCACCTAAACACCCAAGCATGCACACATGCACAAAGTGAGTGGAAGAGAAAGTGGGACAAGAAGGCGGGAAGTTAGTGGCAGCATGGAACTGACTCTGGCTTATCACATAATTGAGACTTATTCCAGTTGCTTTAACAACTTCCCTTTCCCCTTCTCTTAGTCCCTGGAAACTATAATCCTACTCTTTAATTCCATGAGTTAGAATTTATAGAAATCTCATGCAAGTGTAGTCATATAGTATGTGTCCTTCTGTGACTAGACATTTTTATTTCAACAGGTTAATATTATCCAGGTTCATCCATGTTATTACAAACTTCAGCATTCTCTTCTTTTAGAACTATTGTATTATCCTCAACTGAACTTCTAGATATTTTTCACAAAGAATTAACATCTGGATCTCCAGTAGGTAATAGCATGTCATTGTTCTCTGCAACTCCATTTGCAATAGTAGAAGTGGAAACACCATAAATATCTATCCATAACATGAATAAATAAAGTAAAAATATAGAGATAGAGATAGAGATAGATATGTGAGCATACCATAGAATGTTGTTTAGTCTTTTAATATTTGTAAATCGTCATTTAAATCAATATAGAATCAGGGATTTATTTTATTTTAAATAATATTTTTCATTTATTTTACATAACTATCATAGTTTCTCCTCCCTCCTCTTCTCCCAGTCCTCCATCCCCACCCACTTACCTCCCAACCCCAACCACCGCCCACCACCGCCACCCAAGGCTGCTCACTTTCCATTTATCCCCCTCCTCTTCCACTCCTCCACTGTCTACAGTCAATAAGTGACAGGCCTCCCATGGGCTTGAGCAAAGCATGGCATATCAAGTTGTTGAGGCAGGACTGAGCTCCTTCCCTTGCATTAAGATTAGGCAACGTAATCTGATACGGGAAACAGATTGCCAAAATACAGCTGGGCTCCAGGGACAGCTATTCAACTCACTGGTAAGAGCCCTACAAAGAGAACAGGCTGTACAATTGTCACATGTATGTCTTCCCATGGAAGCTCCCTAAATGTTGGTCCAGAGTTCATGAGTTCTCGGGAACTCAGGTCAGCTATGTCTGTGGGTTCTCCTATCATGATCCCCCTGGCTCATACAGTCCCTCCTCTCTTTCTTCAGTGAGATTCCCAGAGCTCAACCCAGTGCTTGGCTGTGGATCTCTGAATCTGCTCCCATCGGTTACTGGACAAAATATCTCTGATGACAATTAGGGTAGTCACCAATCTGATTACAGTCGATGGCCAGTTCAGGCACCCTCTCCACTATTACTAGGAGTTTTTGCTGGTGTTATTTTAAATAATGTCCCAACATTTAAAAATAAAATATTGCTCACTCTTACAATGTAGATTTCCAGCCTTGTCTTTGCAGTTTGGCAGCTTTACAGAACTGCCCTACATTCCACTACAGGGATAGCCCATGAAGCTGAGGAGGAATGGTCTCTTAAAACTAGGTAAGTGCTCCATGTTATACCATAGTCCTTTCTGGTCCATCTTCTGTCACATTTCTGGGATATCCCTGGTAATATGAAAGACTGATAATTTTAAATTTAAAAAAATAACTTTTTTTAAACATCAGGGAAGTATGTCCTTTGTCTGAGTCATCAGTCCCCATGAAGAAAGCATACCCATTTCTAACCCTGCTGGCCCCTTGCCCATAACAAAAGCTTTTTAACATCACTAAGACTGACTTAGGTCCCTGTAGATCAAACATGAAACATTAGAATGTACTAAAATAATAGTTTCAGGAACTTAAGGATTTTTGTTTTCATTATTATTGCCACTCTAGTACCCAAAATACTGCTGACACAGAGTAGTTGCTTAATACATTCTTGTCAGAAGACCACGTTAATGAATTCATGTGATGGTTCAGGATTTTTAGACAGCATAGGATAGTCTAAACAGTCTGTCTGACATCCATTCTAAAGCATTATAGTCACTTTTTACTATCATCATATTTGTTGCCCAACAAGGAAAAATAAGCTGTAACCAGTTGATTTCTATCCAGAGAGACTGAGTGGTTAAAACACTGGGAGAGTCAAACTTCGTTCAAATGTTTATTTGCCACTAGAAGCTGATAGTGTTGCTCTATCTGTGAATGTTATATATTTCTCAAAGTCAGGTATTGAAAAAGGTGACCTATGTAAGGAACTTGGCATGAAGTACTAGTTGATAAATATGAAGTATTGGTGTTATGCTTAAAGCTGGTTTTAGAACAGAAGTGAACATATCATTTTATGATGGGCAGAGAATAGTATAGTAGTGTTGGTAAACAGCATTAATATTGAATATTCTAGGCATTGGGCATTTTGCAATATGATCTAGGAAGTAAAATTATTTAAGCTCCACCTCTGCTCCTCCTTTCTCACCCACACACACTTTCTGTGCCCTATAAAAAGCCTTGAGTAGCCCATATTCCCACAGGCACTAGCAAATGAAAAGTCCAGGGTTTTGGTTCTGTTTTGTTTTTTATTGTTTTCTTGTGTATTGTAACTACTATTGTGTTCCATTTTAGACATTTAATTACATCCTAAATTTGTCACAGCAGTTCTGAGAATAACACACCAATCCAAGAAAGAAATCTGCCCCACACATATTGGCATTTCCCTGGTACTTCAGCTTTTCAGAATAAAAAACCCTGTGGCCAAAAGGTCATCTAGAAACTTATCTTGAGAGCTCTTCCCTCATGAGTAGAGGAAAGATGGAACATGTTGAGGATTTCAAGCACTATTCCACTTGGACTCTCAGAATCTATGAGTGGACATTTCCATTCCAGTTTTGGTATTTACCTAGAGCTAATAAAAAAGCATTTATTTACAGGAACAGAAAACTGTTGGACCAGAGACATCTGCTGGTTCTTTCTAACCAAGTACCAAAAGAAACCATTGGAATTATAGAGACAATGCTTGATCCAGTTTGTGGAGAAATGAATTCACAATCTTTCCAGACAGATAGTTTGCCACACACACACACACACACACACACACACACACACACACACACACCACTTACTTATCCATCTACTCATTAAATACATAGTGAGCACTGATTCTATTCCTGGCCCTACACCTGTTTAATACTGACTAATATAATGAATGTTACTGTCACAGAGAACACAGTAAGACACTGATCCCCATACTCACCGTCCTGCTACTCCTTGAGGAATGTCTTTTGGAAATCCAATAAAATAATTAGTAACTTGAAATCTGGAGTCACACAGACCTAGTGTAGAATCCCATATGAATTATAAGCTGAATTGTCTTGGGGAAATTACTTAATTTCTCTCAGCATTTTTTTTAATTTTAGAAACAATACTATTTTACATACCAATCCCCCATTCCCTTGCCCTCCCATCCTCCCATGCCCTCCACTGACCTCCACAACCAATCCTGCACCCACTTCCCAAGGATAGTGAGGCCCTCCCAGGGGGCCACCAAAGTCCTTCACATTATTTGGGAGAGGACCTAGGCCCTCTTTCATATATCTGGGCTGCAATAGTATCCCTCCATAGGAAATGGGCTCCCAAAGTTCATTTGTGCACTAGGGATAAACCCTGGCTCCTCTGTTAGAGGTCCCATAGACTGCCCAGGCCTCCTAGTTGGCACCTACATTCAGAGGGCTTGGTTTAGTTCAATGCTGCTTCCCCAGCTTTATGACTGGGGAAGCATAAAGAAACAGGTCAGGTCACCTGTTTCTGTGGGTTTCTCCAGCATGGTCTTGTCTCCTTTGCTCATCCCCCTTCCCTCTCCACATCTGGATTCCAGATGTATGGCTCAGTATTCAACTGTGGGTGCCTGTTTCTGTTTCGATCAGCTACTGGATTAAGTCTCTAGGAATGACAACCAAGGTGGTAATCAATGTCATTATCAGGGAAGGGCGTAAAAGTCAGCCTCTTCACCACAGTCTAGATTCTTAGTTGGGGTAACCCCTGTGGAACTCCAAACATTTCCCCAGTGTCAGACCTCTCTCCAAACCTATATGGGCTCCCTCTATCAAGACATCTCCTTTCTTTCCTTCCTGTATTCCTCCCCTGTCTCAGTCCTCCTGATTCCTCCTGTTCTCCTCCCCCTTCCCCTTTTGCCCTTCTCCCCTTTCCACTTCCCTCGTCTCCCCCAATCCCATGCTTTCAATATTCTCAGGGGTTCTTGTCCCCGTTCCCTTCTTCAGGGAAACATGCATTCTTCTCTTGGGGTCCTCCTTGTTTCCTAGTTTCTCTGGTGGTATGGATTGTAGGCTGGTAGTCTCTTTGCTCTCAGATATTACCCATATATGAGTGAGTACATAAACTGCTTGTCTTTTTGTGATTGGGTTACCCCACTAGGGATATTTTCTTCCAGTTCCATCCATTTGCCTGAGAATTTCAAGATCTCATTTTTTTTCCCACTGAGTAATACACAATTGTGTAAATGTACTATTCTCCATCCATTATTTGGTTAAGGGGCATCTAGTTTGCTTCCAGGTTCTGGCTATTACAAACAACGCTGCTATGAACATAGTTGAACATATGTTCTTATTGTATGAATGCTCATTCTTTGGGTATATGCCCAAGAGTGGAACTGGTGGATCTTGAAGTAGACTGAGTCACATTTTCCTGAAAAACCACCATACTAATTTCCAAAGTAGTCATAAAAATTTGAGTCTTTTGCCTTACAGAAGTGTCTCAGTTTCAGGAGGTCCCATTAATTATCAATCTCAGTTTCTGTGCTACTGGTGTTATGTTAATTCAAGGGTACCTCCCACTTTCTTTTCTAACTGGTTCTGCATGGCTGGATATATGTTGAGGCCTTTGATCCATTTGGACTTAATTTTTGTACATAGTGATGAACATGGATCTATCTGCAACCTTATACATGTCAGCATCCAGTTATGCCAGCACAATTTGTTTGAGATGTTTTCTTTTTTCCATTGTATAATTTTAGCTTTTTGTCAAAAATCAGGTGTTAGTAGGTGTGTGGGTTAATATCAGGGTGCTCAATTTGATTCCATTGGTCTACCTGTCTACTTTTGTGCCAATACCAAGCTATTTTCAGAGTTATAGCTTTAAATTAGAGCTTGGAGTCAGAGATGTGATGCCTCCAGAAGTTCCTTTATTACAGGGTCATTTTGGATATCCTGGGGGTTTTTTTTGTTTTCCCATATAAAGCTGAGTATTATTCTTTCAAAGTCTGTGAAGAATTGTGTTGGAATTTTGATGAGGATTGCGTTGAATCTGTAGATTTCTTTTGGCAAGATTGCCATTTTTACTATGCTGACCCTACCTATTCAAGAGCATGGGATAACTTTCCATTTTCTGGTATCTTCTTTAATTTATTTTTTTAAAGACTCAAAGTTCTTGCTATTACATGTCTTTCACTTGTTTGGTTAGCATTACCCCAAAATATTTTATATTGTTTGTTGCCATTGTAAAGAGTGATGATTCTCTGATTTCTTTCTCAGCCTATTTATGGTCTATGTATAGTAGGGCTACTGATTTTTTTTAGTTAATCTTGTATCCTGTCATTTTGTTGAAGGTGTTTATCAGCTGGAGGAGGTCCCTGGTAGAGTTTTTTGGGTCACTTATGTAAACTATCATATCATCTGCAAATAGTGAAAGCTTGGCTTCTTCCTTTCAATTTGTATCCCCTTGATCTCCTTTAGTTGTCTTATTGCTCCAGCTAGAAGTTCTAATGCAATATTGAAGAGATATGGAAAGAGTGAACAGCCTTGTCTTGTTCTTGATTTTAGAGTAATCACATTGAGTTTCTAACCATTTAGTTTGATGTTGGCTGTTGTTTTAATGTATATTGCTTTTTCGATATTTAGGTATGTTCCTGTTCTTACTGATCTCTCCAAGTTCTTTATTATGAAGGGCTGTTGGATTTTGTCAAAGGCTTTTTTAGCACCTAGTGAGATGACCATGTGGTTTTTCTTTTGAAGTTTATTTTTATGGTGAATTACAGTAATGCATTTTTTATGTTGAACCATCCCTGCATCCCTGGGATGAAGCCTACTTGATCATGGTGGATGTTTTTCTTATGTGTTCTTGGATTTTATTTGCCAATATTTTGTTGTGTGTTTTTGCATGTTCATGAGGGATATTGGTCTGTAGTTCTCTTCCTTATTTGTGTCTTTGTGTGGCTTGGGTACCAAGGTAATTGTAGCCTCATAAAGAGAGTTTGGCAATGAACCTTCTGCTTCTATTGTGTGGAACTGTTTGAGGAGTATTGGTTTTAGCTCTTCTTTGAATTTCTGGTAGGATTCTGCAATGAAGCAGACTGTCCCTGTGCCTTTTTTGGTTGGGAGACACTTGATGGTTGCTTCTATTTCATTAGGAGTTATAATGACTATTTAATATAGGAATATCTAAATGGCTTATCTTTTCTTGATTTTCAACAATTTTCTGGATATACATGACTTACTAAAATTAAAGTGCTATAAATTCAGGAAATTGTTCATTTCCTTTAAATTTTCAAATTTTGTGGAGTACAGGCTTTCAAAGTATGATCTGATGATTCTTTGTATTTCCTCAGTGTCCATTGTTAAGTGCTCCTTTCATTTCTGATTTTGTTAATTAGCATTCTCTCTCTCTCTCTCTCTCTCTCTCTGCCTTTTGGTTAGTTTGGTAAAGATTTGTCTATCTTGTTGATTTTCTCAAAGAATCAACCCTTTGTTTCACTGATTGTTTTCTTTGTTTCTACTTTATTGATTTCAGCACTCAATTTGATTTTTCCTGGCATCTACTCCTCTGTAGTGAGTTTGATTCTTTTGTGCTAGAGCTTTCTGGTGTGACTATTCTCCAATTTCTTCTTGTGGGTACTTAGTGCTATGAACTTTCCTCTTATCACTACTTTCAAAATGTCCCATAAGATTGGGTATGTTGTTTCTTCATTCTCATTGAATTCTAGGAAATCTTTAATTTCTTCCTTTACCCAGGAATGGTGCAATTGTACATTGTTCAATTTCAATGTGTTTGTAGGGTTTCCGCAATTTATGTTGTTGTTGAATTCTAACTTTAAACCATGGTGATATGATAGTATACAAGGAGTTATTCCAATTTTTGTACCTATTGAGGTTTGCTATGTTCCCAAGTATGTGGTAGATTTTTGAGAAGGTTCCTTGTGGCGCTGAGAAGGAGGTATATTCTTTTGTGTTTGGATAAATGTTCTATAAATGTCTGTTAATGCCAGTTGGGACATAACTTCTGTTAGGGCCTTTGTTTCTTTGTTAAATTTCTTTCTGTTTGGTCCTGTCTAGTGGTGAGAGTGGAGTGTTTAAGTCTCCCACTGTAAGTGTGTGAGGTTTTATGTGTGTTTTGAGCTTTAGTAATGTTACCTTACAAATGTGGGTATCTTTGTATTTGGGTCATAGATGTTCAGAATTGAGAGTTCATCTTGATGGACTTTTCCTGTGATGAATATGAAATGACCTTCTTCATGTCTTTTGATTGATTTTAGTTTAAAGTCTAATTTGTTACATGTTAGGATTGCTACACCAGCTTGTTTCTTAGAACCATTTGATTGAAAATCTTTTCTCTCTCAGCAATATTGATAAGAAACTGTAATAAATAATATCATCTTCTAACTTTTCTTGAATCAGTAAGAAACTGCATTTTAAGACATTGTCATCATTCCAGATATTCAAGAGGTTTGTGATTAACACAGTCATTAAGAAAAATGGGATGACTAGTATAATGTTCCACTGCTCTGTGGTCCTCAGGACTGTTTTATGGCTATCTCAGTCCAGGAATAAACACCATCACCATGTCATATAAATGATTTGTCCTAACTCATCTGAAAGTAAAAAAAAGAAGGAAACTTTAAAAATTAAAAATAGGAACAAAATTGGATGATTCAACATATACACTTACTTTAAAATTGTGAATTCAAGGACAGCCTAAGCTACAAAACAAGACTGCTTCAAAAAGGAAGAAAAAGAATGAAAATTCGATTTTGACTTAAGAAGGGCATTGGTAATCAAGCAGAATACATAATACCCAATCAATTAAAAAATAATCACTAGTGAGAAAAATATTAAAATTTTGCTCCAAATTATATTATATTTCCCACAGTTTTGGATCAGTGAAAATGATTTTATCCAAACTCAAACACTGGAACAGGAAGTGGTAGAGTCAATAAATGCTAAAATAAGAAGATAATTTGTTTAACACACTCCCGGTTGTCTTTGTGGCTCAAAATTACCTACTCATGCTTCATGATTTTAGAGGTCACTGAAATTTTATAAGAGATTTTCCCCACTTGCTAGAACCACAGTTACTTTAATTACTATTAAAATTTAAATTGCCATGCAAAGGTAAATGTTTAAGCTGCTATCAAACATTTATGTTTTGCATGACTAAATATATCAACATGTTTATACATGATGATATGCTCATTGACCAAGATTCAAAAGCTTCAGAGGATTAGTAAAAATAACTGAAAACCTCACCCTTTTTTCAGGCAGCTGTAGCCAATTCTTTGTCTAGTACAGAAACTTGCATAATTGCATTTTTCTTTCCCATAAATAAAATTACATTAAACACATTCTTTCTTGAATTTTTTACATACACTGTATTTTGTTGGTCTATGTATGCCTATGTGTAAAGAGTTTCCATCTATGTATTTAAACATTTTACTTACTAATAGCCATCAGGTTATTTTTAAATATTTGCTATTTCAATGAGTACTAAAAATGTTTTTGTATGAATACATTTATGCATATGGGTGAATATTTCTTCACATTGAATTCCTACATCCCAAACATAATGTTATCATAAAAATGCTTAATTCATTTGAAATGTGATAGTTCATATTATATTTCCAACCAAAATTTTTTAGATCATCTTAGAATCTCAAAGTATTTACTAGAAAACTTTCAAATAGCAAAATCATACTTAAAAGTTATCTGAAGTGCTGGGTATGGTGCTTGATTTTAAAACATTTGCCTATCCTAACATACATATGCAAGGCCCTTGGTTCAGGTGCTGAACCACAAAATAAGGCAAAAAAATAGAATTAATCTTCATAAATGGGGGTTTGATTTTTCTCACAAAACTATAGGCCTGTATGTATGTGACTAGTGATCATTGTTGGATAGCCTAAATTTTCATAGCTTCCTATTTGTGAATCTCTTGGCTTTTCTCTTATGGTGTCAGAATGACAGTGATTACTCCAGACATGTCTACATCCACAATGAAATGAATCATGCAGAAGCATCTAGACAGTTCCATCTACTTATCACTAAACACTTTTTCACACACCTGCACATTATGTTTATTGTTTACTAACCCTCTGTAGGACAGTTTTTTGATTAGCACAATGTCATTTGGTTCTCATAAATGTAGAAGTGACTTGGGCAAAGTGTGTTCATTTTTTTCTAACATTTAAGTTGATACATATCAGAGAGACAATAATACATACCAAGGTTTTAACTTTGAAAAGTTTGAAAATGCCCAATTTACTGCACTTTTGCCAGAATTAAAAACTCAAGCTGACTTCCCAGTCTTACAATTGCAGAACGGTATATATGATTTCAGTGATTAATTTAGCTGGTAGTGTAAGTTTGAGCATATTTTTCATTTAAAATAGTCATAGTGATGCTTTTTATGAATTTCAGCTTTATAATACTTACTTGTGAATTTTTCATTTTAGCATATTCAGGGCTATATATTCTATACAATATATGGTTATTAAGTCGCAGAGTTAGGAGAAATGAGTAAATAAAAAAGTCCACCAACTGGGAGGCAAGTCACTGAATACAAGCCTCAATGGAAAGTTTTGTTTTCCCCTTTTATCTGTAATGACACTGAAGAATAAAAAAGAGTCTTCCCATAATTAGAACACCACTTCAGAGGATGGACATAGATAAGAAGGTACTCCGTGAAGTTCCAATAAGTCAATGTCAAGGTCAGGAATGCCAGACAGGACTTTGGTACCTCTCAACACTGCCAGTATTCTTGACCTGCATGTCTGAAGGTTAATTCAGCAAATATGCAGTAGTCTTTCTCAGGGACAAAATTTGATGTTTTTCCTTTTCTTTTGTTGTATTTCCTTAAAAGGGTCCACTGTTGAATTCAAGGGTCTCCAGCTTTCAAATGGACACAGGTAAATCACTTGTCCAGATGGGTTCTCTCCATGATACTAAAACACAAAGGGAAAAGCAACTGCAGGAACTCTAGCTCAAACCAAACTGTGACTTCAAGATTGATGTAGATGCTTAGACTCTCTCAAAATAAGCAATGAATTACACAGTGGACAGTATAACAACACACACTTGTATATATTTTTAAAGTGTTAGTGAAAAATAGCTATATTAGTCAGGTATTACTATTGTTTCAGAATGAACTTTAATCTTAGATGAACTGAATGTCCAGAGAAATTTGCCTGTTTGAATAAATATCAGTGTTATTGTATGCATTACCTTGAGATAAAGTCTCAATGATGTTGAAAAAGAGCCAGAAAAGTCATATACACATCTTTGGGAAACCAGTAGAAATGTAAAATGATCTCCTGGCTTCAAATATGCCTCTAGTCTTATTTCATATTTTATAATGAAAATCAACAGCCCCAACTTACCAAGATCATTTTGTTTGAATGATTTCTATGAAATCTCTTCCTCTGCAGAGGACCTGGGTCTCATTCTCAGCATTGACAAAGAGGCTCACAACCAGATTTATCTTCAATCCCAAAGGATCATGTGCCCTTCTGGTAGTCCTGTACACTGAATGCATGTAGTGCATGACACACATGCAGGTAAAACAACCATAAATTAAAACCAAGGGGAAAATGTTTTTAAAGAAAGAAAATGAAACTTTGTAGACATATACCCTGTTCAAGATTTTTCTAATGTCTAAAAATATGTTTTTAGCCTTAAATATTGACTTGATTTTTTAGCCTTAAAAATTATTGATTTGAAGAAAATTAGAGCTCCCCCAAGACACAGATAATAGGTATGTGCAGAACAAAAGTTAATGCACAGACAATAGGTATGTGCAAAACCCTCAGATTCTCACAGCAACTCATTGGTAATATTAATCAAAAAATTTTGTCTTCTGGTGTTCTGGTTTTGAAAAGTGATCTTATACAAACAAGATATGGTTATCAGTGAATATACACACACATGCTTTTATGCCAATAATTTTACGTGTCAATTTTAGATGTGGGGGGGCATTATAGATACCAGAATTGTACCAATAAGGATTAGCTTGATTCACACAATTAATCCTCACTGGAGACTCATCACTCTGCTCACCCACCACACATTTTCCACTCTCCACTTCAACTCTTAATAATTTAACTTTCTTGCCTGTCATTTAATGACATATCATCACCCAGAATATTAAATTAATGGTCTGTGTAACCAAAGGGTCTCTCCTCAGAACCTCAAAAAGGTAGATTGTTAGAAAACTGAGTTATGAAACATTATGCATCCAACTCAAAGCTCTGTAAGATTTTGGTTTACAAAGTAATTCTGAAAGGTTATATTTTTGTTGAGACAATTTTGATGTCTCAAATAAGTTTTGGGCTTTCTTAAAATGAACTGAGTTTATCTGGAAGGAAGGTCACAGGAACCTCACTCCTTGAAAGGCTAATATGACAGCCATGCTTGCCACAGGGCTTTTGCTCTGGGATTAGATGCATATGCTGCTGAGACAAACAGAGCATTGCTTGGTTTTACTTACTGAAATTGTTGGTTTAAAAAAAAACAACAACAGTGCAATTAGGATATGTTACAAGCAGTACAAAATAAATATTTTCCATGTCCTAAGATAACAAAGGAATTAATAATAGGAATTTGGGGTCTGAGGCTGAGAAGGTGGCTCAGTGAGTAACAAAGACCTCAGTTTGGATCCCCAGCACCCAAGTTAAAAACTGGGCATGGTTACATGTGCCTGTAAGCTCAGCACTGCAGAATCAGGGACAGGCAGGTTAAGGGGCTCACTAGCCAGTCAGTCTAGCCAAAATGGTAGTGTCCAGGATCAGTGAGAGATCTTGTCACAAGCAGTACAATAGAAAAACGACAAAGGAAGATATCCTCTGGCCTTGGCAGGGATGACACAGGTGAATGCAGGCACATGTGCACACACACACACACACACACGCACAGACACACACACACACACACACACACACACACACACACAGTTGAGGTCCCATCAGAGATACCAGTGTGATTTTCTAAAGAAGAGAGGTCATAGAGTCCCTTGCTCATAGAGTCCCCTATTCTGTTAGTGTTGAAACACTGTCATCCCAAACACATGGACACCTCAATATCACAGGGGCTAAGCTGTCCTAATTATTATGCAGTTGGAGGAAATGAATGGAAACCACACTGGAAAAGAAAGATAATTTATTTTGAGTCCATGGGAAATTTCCATTATCTCTTGGGAAAGAATTGCTTAGGAAAACAAATGAAATTGAATATGGTTGCTTTGTGATATAAGTTTAATTTATATCTATAATTTAATTGACTGACTTAAAAGCTGATTCAGGCACTTAGGCACACAATTCAGAGAGCAATTGGTCACTTTTCTCTTATTATCCTTGTTCCAAGCAAGATGCTACTTGGGGTTCCTAAGTCTTCCCTTTATACCTTGTCTAGTTCATTTGGTATTTGTATTTTATAGAATAATTGCCTATAATTAGCAAACCCTGATGAAAGCATTATGATTAGCTAAAGCAGATTCATTTCCACTTCATCAGTTTGGTTCACTTGACTCTGTACTCAATACTCCTTTTTAACCACTGGCTTCTTTATTTAAATAAATTAAAAGAAGCATCAAAATATCTTCTCTATGCCCATGGCAGAAGGGGCAAATCTGGGGTGTTTCAGGGTTATGTTTTGATCTATTTGTGGGTCCTTCTAAGTACCTATAAATTTATTTATGCTAAGAACATTTTTAGACTTGAGCTTTGTGTTCAATGTGAATTCAAAGGAAGTTGAAGCAGAACATTTCTCTCTCATTGAAGTATCAAGTATCAAAATGGTATTTGATGTCCAAGGAACTTGTAAAGCCCTCATTTTCCTTTGAGCAAAGAAGGTCATAATTTTCCACAGTCTAAAAGCATTTGAAGTCCCAGTTTCTGTTTTTTCCCGCAAATGCCCCCCCCCTTACTATAACTGTTTCCGTTCTAGTTCTCCTCTCTTTCTATCCCAACATTCCTTGAATCTCCTCACTAAAGTCACCCTGTAGTTTCACATGCTCTCACTCTCCAGGGAAGAGACGGAATCAGAATGTGGATGCAACACTGGGGATTTACATGGGGATTGGTTGGATGCAACACTGACCTTGAGGAAGATAAAGCACCAAGATATGAGCTCGATTACAGGCATGGGGATGGGGGATGGGGAATGGTGGTTCAGTTAAACTCCCTCACATGTCCTCTAAAGGGTTCTTTCATGTAGACTATGATGAAAACAGCATTTGTTTGTTTTTTCTTATCTGTCCCTTTACGGCATGGTGACTTTACATGGTAATTAAGAAAGTCATGATGATAATGGTTAGGACATTTTCAGAGCTGAAAACAAAACCACTTTGAGTTTATTCTTCTTTGTATTACCATTAATTCCTGCATCTACCAAGAAGACCAGAAATGAATAGTTTAGTCACCTCTGTCTTGCAATGTGTTTTTTATATTGTTTGAGACAAGTTCTCTCTGCATACCCATGGCTGACCTGGAACTCACAATATAAATCAGGCTGACCATAAACTCAAAGCAGCCTTCCTGCCTATGCCTCCCAAGTGTTAGAACTACCTGTACACCCACCCTTACACAGGATTGTGTACACACACACATACACACACACTCATGCACACATGCACAATCTCACACTTTCTCCCAAAATACAGTTTAATCATTCCAGCAGTCATCTTTCAGCAGTTATAATGACACTGAGTTGCTTTAAGATACTTTCTCTATAAAGGAGACACATATATAGTGGTTGCTGGAGTTTTCTTGTACTGCCAGGTCCCACCACCCTTGAGCCCTAAATAAACACATAGGCGCTATATTAATTATAAAACTATTGACTAATGGCTATGGATTCTTATTGATTAGCTCTGTCTTAATTATTAACCAATAACTACTAATACATGTATTTCTACATGGCCTTATCTTACCAGAGAACACCTGGTGTGTACTATCCTCCTGGTCCCTCTATGGCGTCTCCCTGTGGTCCTTATCTGTCTACAATTCCCAGAATTCTCCGCATCTCCTAGTTCCATCTAACGTCCTGCCTCTAATGGCCAAACAATGTTTTATTCATCAATAATTAAGAGAAAGATATATACAGAAGGATACCCCAATCATTCTGAGAAAGGGAACGAGGAGATTAAAAAACTCCAGTGATAAGTTGGGTTCAATGGTTTGTATCCCATCCCTGTGGCTGGTTTGCCTTTCCACTGCTCATACATTTCCACACTTCAGCAGAAGCTTCATGATCAGTGAAAACATTCACAATTTTGGCCTTACAATGATTGGTTAAATTGATGCAGCCCTGAGAAATTATGTAAACCAACTCAAAGGCTTGATTGTAAACCATGACTGCTATTGTAACCAGTTTGGTTTCCTTCCCTCTGTACTGTGACTCATTTTGTTTCTCTCCTTATGGTGAAATAAACCTGAATCTAAATCTGCCCTGTGTTGTGGCTGAGGCAACAACTGGTGGAATGGAAAAGTGGGATCTGAAAGCATGCCCTCATTTTGTCATAAATTACCTTCTCTGATTTTTAATTTTAAAATCTTTCATACAATATATTTTGATTGTATATGTACCTCTCCTACAACTGGGAGAGTAAGAAAGTTTGGAACATTCAGCCCTAAGAGAGATGGCTTTATCTAGATTACCTCTCTTTAAGGCTAAGGGATCAATGTGGAAGAGGATAGACTTTGAAGAGCCAGCAGTGGTCAATGACTCCAAAGAAACAGCACCATAAAGACACAGTAGGACTGAAACATATGAACTCACAAAAATTGTGGCAGCACACATAAGATCTGCAGAGATTCAAGCCAGAAAATATCTAAGCACTGAGAAAGGGAAGTTGATGAGAAGCCCCACCCCTAGGCAAGGAACTATTTTCAATTAATACTTGCAAGAAAGGGGGGAAATTATTTTTCTCCAATAACACGTCTCTGAGTATATCAGCATACCCAAGGGCAGACCTCATGCCCAGGAGTAGATGTCCCACACACAAAATGGACTCCATTCTGTGAGTGGTGTCCCTATCAACATTTATACTATAAAGCTTGAGAGGCATCAACACCAAAGTTATGTTTTGTCAAAAACATCAAGGATTCAAATTCTGCATGATTTTTCTCATTCTTGTACATAGTTTCACTGGATCTGTGCCTCAAAGATCCTATTTTGTTTCAAACATGTTGTGTGTGTATATGCTGCAGGTTACATCATCCTAATTTGAGAGAAAAGAAAAGAAAACCTCTGTAGCCAGAAATTTGAGGTTCTTTTTTATGGGGAATTATGTATCACTGCTTGTTCCTAAGTAAGACATTAGTGTATATTCACAGGAAGTTTAGTTGATTGGAAGAAGGGGCACGTGTTTTGTATTTGTTTTTAGTATGGGGTAGAGAGAAAGCAAACCCTGAGCTCTGAAGGTGCAGATGAAATTTCCAGGGGCAACAATCTTCCTTTTATCTTTCAGCAGCTAGTGGAGTAAAGATAGTGGAGTAGCTGAAGGTATCCGAGTGTGGTTGGGGTGCTTTGTGATGGTAAGCTCCATCACAAAGATTTATGGTGTCACAAAAACCAAACCTTCATCACACACTTCACACATAAGACAACAGTTTGTTTCTCAAGCTTATGTGCACTCTAAAGAGGAAAGCATGGAATTGACCTATGTGGGAAAGAGAGATACTGTGTATGTGTGTGTGTGTGTGTGTGTGTGTGTGAGAGAGAGAGAGGGGGGGAGGGAGGGAGAGATATGAATCCCTTCAAGATGAAGAAAAAGAGAAAACCTGCTTTTCATAGAACCTTGGGTATGTGTGTTCTCCTACTTTCCCACTCAAAAGTCTAGCATTACGTTCACTGTGTGAGGCAATCCATTCAGTTCAGACAGACCTTTAGTGTATGGCATAAAACAGCTTTCCTGAGAACCTACTAAACTACCTGTGAAAATGCTGGAACAATGATCCCATAGCCTTTCACCATTCCTGTAGTGACCCACAACAGTAAATACAACAGGTAGAAATGAAAGAGCAGGTGCCTCTACCCTAGCAGTCTTTAATTAGACACTATTCTTTGCATTGTGATCTGTGTGTATATGTGAAGACAGAGATCTTTGGCTTGACTTTCCCACATTCTCTTCCATGGAGTATAATTAGATGCAAGAATTTTTTTGCCTGTTTGTAATCAGTTTATTTGAGATGGTACCAGACCTTCTGAAGAGGGGTACACTGTGCATCTCCAGGCAATTTTAAGGTTTTCAAAGAAAAATAGTCAATTGACACAACATAAAGAATTTTGAGGTATGAAACAGCAACAACAACAAAAGGCATTCCAAGAAGAGGGAAAATTATGGACTTATTTATTTTAATGTTTTCATCATTTTTTTTCTTTTTCAAAACACTCTTATTTACATATCCATCCCCCCATTCCCTCTCCTTCCCATCCTCCCATGCTTCCCACCGACCACCCAATCCACCCATCACCCACTCCTCAGGGATAGTGAGACCCTCCACGGGGCATCTTCAAAGTCTGTCACATCATTTGAAGAAGGGCACAGGCCCTCCTTTCCATATCTGGGTTGCAACAGTATCTCTCCATAGGGAATGGACTCCCAGAGTCTGTTTGTGACCTAGGAATAAACATTGGCTCCACTGTTAAAGGTCCCATAGCCTGCCTTGGCCTCCTAGCTGGTACCCATATTCAGAGGGCTTGGTTTGGTTCAGTACTGGTTCCCCCGCTTTATGACTATGGACTGCACGCTCTCATTGGGTCAGATCAATAGTTTCTGCGGATATCTCCAGTTCTGTCTTGGTTCATTTGGTCATCTCTCCTCCCTCTCCTCAACTAGATTCTGGGAGTTTGGCTCAGTGCTCAGTGATGGGTGTCTGTTTCTGCCTCTATCAGCTACTGGGTCAAGGCTCTCAGAATGGTAACCAAGGTAGTCATCAATCTCATTATAGGGGAAGGGCATCAAAGGCAGCCTCTCCAACACTGCCTAGATTCTTAGTTGGGGTTATCCCTGTGGATCATTTTTTTGTTACTCCATCTCATATTTAAACTAAAAAGTACCACTCTAAAAGAATATTTTTTTCTTTGCTCAAATTTTGTGAAAGAAAACATTAATTTTAAGTCACTTAAGTAATTCTAGCAAGCTAAATAAATATTTAGTTATTTTAATACATGTAATTTATTGACTTAAATGTACATTTTAATACACCGAGTTATTCATAGAACTTAATTATTACTAATTGGCTCAATCAATATTTGATAATATGTATTAACTTTAAAAACAAGCTCTCCCAATAAGCTTCTGTATTTAACATGCACTTAAATTGAAACTCTAAATCTAATTCTTTTAACAATATATTTGAATAATGTCTAGCACTTTGTAATAGTGCTTATTAGAAAATGTCATTTAGAGAGCCTGCAGATCGCCTGGGAACTGCACAGAGCTCCCAAGCCCGGCGGGAGCCAAGCACCCCAGACTCCAGATCTTCTCTCCCACCAACGATTCCAGGAAAGGAGAGGAGGCTGGGAGTACAGGGAAGTAGCTGTGCCTCTGGCATTATCAGGTAAACAGGCCAGCTTCCCGGCCTGTGTTCCAGAGCCTGCAGATCGCCTGGGAACTGCACAGAGCTCCCAATCCCGACGGGAGCATCAGGTAAACAGGCCAGCTTCCCGGCCTGTGTTCCAGAGCCAAAGAGACCAGGAAACTACAGGAGCCAGGGAGACCAGGGGAGCAGCTGTTCCGGATCAGGTACAACAGGACCCAGCATAGGGTCCAGGGGACCAGGTAGGAGGCTAAGCGCCCCAGATTCCTGTTCTTCTTCTCTACCCACGGACCAGCATTTGGACAAGGCATAGAAGAACCACCAGATTACTGGACTTACTAGCACCCACCAAAAGGGAACTCTGGTCCCCAGACCAGGAAGGGGCTCTTTCTGCACCCACTAAAAGAAGAGATGGGAAAGAGACAATACAAAAACACAGTCAGCAACAGAAAAACAAATATGACACCGCCAGATTCTAGAGACTCCACACCAGCAAGACCCCAATATTCCAACACGAAGGAAGCAGAAGAGAACGACCTTAAAAGCACTTTCATGAAAATGATAGAGGCCCTAAAAGAGGATATTGGAAAATCCATCAAAGAAATGGAAGAAAAAACAAACCAAAAAATGCAAGAAATGGAAGAAAAAACAAACCAAAAAATGCAAGAATTGGAAGAAAAAACAAACCAAAAAAGGCACGAAATGGAAGAAGAAATGAAGCAAAAAATGCAAGAAATGGAGGAAAAAGCAAAGCAAAAAATGAAAAAAATGGAGGAAGAAACAAACCAAAAAAGGCAGGAAATGGAAGAAGAAACAAAGCACAAAATCCAAGAAATGGAACAAAAAGCAAACCAAAAAATGCAAGAAATGGAAGAAAGAACAAACCAAAAAATTCATAAAAGGCAACAAAGGGACGAACAGATAAACAGAAAATTGCAAGAAGCAATGCAAATGCTGCAAGGGTTGAAAACTGAAATAGAGACACTAAAAAAAACACAATCTGAAGAAAGGCAGAAAATAGAAAAGCTGGACAAACAGTCAGGCACTACAAATACAAGCATTACCAACAGAATAGAAGAGATGGAAGAGAGAATCTCAAGTGTTGAAGATACATTAGGAGAAATGGATTTATCAACCAAAGAAAACCTGAAATCCAACAAATCCTTAACACAAAACATCCAGGAATTATGGGACACCATGAAAAGACCAAACCTAAGAATAATAGGTATAGAAGAAGGAGAAGAAATCCACCTCAAAGGGGCAGAAGGCATATTCAACAAAATCATAGAAGAAAACTTTCCCAACCTTAAGAAAGACATGCCAATGAAGGTACAAGAAGCCTACAGAACACCAAATAGAGTAGACCACAAAAAAATCCCTCGCCACATAATAATCAAGACCCCAAACATACAGAATAAAGAAAGAATATTAAGAGCAGCTAAGGAAAAAGGTCAAGTAACATATAAAGGCAGACCTATCAGAATTACACCTGATTTCTCCATGGAAACTCTGAAAGCCAGAAGGTCCTGGATAGATATTCTACCTACACTGAGACCATGGATGCCAGCCCAGACTACTATACCCGGCAAAGCTCTCAATCACTATAGACGGAGAAAACAAGATATTCCATGACAAAACTAGATTCAACCAATATGTGTCCACTAACCCAGCCCTACAGAAAATTTTGGAAGGAAAACTCCAACCCAAGGAAGCTAACTACAACCAGAAAAACATAAGCATTAGAGAATCCCTCTCTACCAACAGCCAAAAGAACAAAGGGGCGAAATTCCACCCATAATTCCACCAACAATAACCATCGCAAATCGAAGAAGGATGAGCAATCAATGGTCATTAATATCCCTCAATATTAACGGCCTTAACTCACCCATAAAAAGACACAGAC